CGCCGTTCAGTTGGCCTTCCTTCCGCTTGTCGGCCTTCAGTCATCCGACTCGCAGTCGGCCGACTGTCAGTCCGTCCATCTCCTCCCGAAGGCCGTGGTGCCTTCTGTGCAGAGGTATCTGCCGTCTTCCCTAGAATCTGAGCGATTATCTCCTTCTGTGTGAGATTCCGCCGGGTCGGAGTTCGCCCGGTCTCCTCAGTACCAGTTGGCATTTTGCGTGCCCTCTGTTTTGGTCGACTGTGAGGCTCGGGGGTGGGCCTACCACGAGTCGGCGCAGCTGGCACTTCCGGCTGCCTGTCCTGAGGTCTCTCATCCCACTTCCGCTTTCGCGGAATGCGCTCACTTCGACGTTCTTCTGCTGCTCTTGCTGGAGCCGGAGCCGGAGGCGTACTGGCAGGTTCCTCGTCCGGATCCGTGTCTACTTCGGCCTCCCTCGAATATCTACCTGGATAGTTCCGGGTCAGCTGCGGAAACCGTGTTTTCTCAGCATTTGTCAAACATCCCATCGCCCGATAAAACACGATTAAGTAAGGCGATAGATGATTGAGGGTTCCTCCCTTCTCTTCTTGCGCATGTTGGCGCGTCACCTTCCACAGGAGCCATGCCCAATGCACTGGAGCTCCTGACAACACTAGCTCCACAAACTCTACCTGCCAACCATGCATGTAAGCGGTCTTGGTCGGCTGCAATATCTGCAGCAATGCAGTCGCGACATTTCTCCGCAATCGATCTTTGTAATCCCGTGTCCGGAAACCGTTCTTGGGATGCCTGGCAACTTTGAAGAGCTCATTGTAAGAGACTTCTTCCTCCTGGGACACCTTCACGCTATCGGCCTCAAAGAGGAGATCCCCTTCCTCGCCGGCACACCTGCCCAACACCTGCGCCCAGTTGCAAATGTCCCATCTCTCTGGGTGTGGGCAGAATCCGCGAGAGGGCTTGTGTCTCTCCTGCAGATACTCGCGCACCATCTCCGGACATGTCCAGTTCCACCCCCATAGGAGAAAATCGAGCTTCAGCCTCAGCAACACATCTTGAAATGCGCGTAGACCGATCTGCGGCACCCTGAGTGGAGACACTCGCAGCTGGGGAACCTTCGACATTGCGTTGCCTGCACACACAAACGTTCTCCCTTTCGCTCGCTCTCTCACAATCGCCACTGCGCGTCGGCCGCTCAAGCACTGACTGCTCACTCTCTCTGCGCTCAAGCTCAAGATCGCTACTCGCAATTCTCTCCAAGGTCCGCCAAGATCCTTGCGCAACTCGTCTCCGCACTCTCTACTCTCACTGCAGGTCGCTCCGCCCTTGCGCGTAATCTTGGAAACTGGAAATCGCAAAGTCAAGAATGAGAGAATGAGACTGGAGCGCAGTCTTTTCTTCTCCGATTTCAAGAACGTCCAACGTTCTTACTGGTTACAACGTACGCAGCCGGCTATACGGCTTAACGGTTCGCCCTTTGCATGCGCGAATTCACGTCTCCGCACTGCGCGCATTCGCATGCATAAACGTTGAATTCTCCCGCCGCCGCCACCTTCCGGACTCGAGTCCGCTGCAGGGTATACGTCGGCCCTGTTGTCTTTTCCTAACCCGTCCCTTGCCGGAGGCGTGTCGCCGCTGGTGCGTTCATTATCCGTCGGCGCCTTGTTGGAGGCGCACATCTAGTCGGAGCGAATTACGCCGGCGCGCAGTTGTACCGCTTATTTTGTCCTTTATGCCTCGTCCGTTGCTGCCGGCGCATATCCGCCAGCGCAACTCATGCCAGCGCATCCGGCCGTCAGCGCCACGTCGGAGGCGTACATCCGACCGGCGCTTTCCTTCCATGAACAGCCGCCAAAGGCGCTTCCGACTCTGAGTTGGTTTCCTCCTATGAGCGCGTGATTCCGCCGAAGGCGCATCGCCGAGGGCGTACGGGAATCCTTTCCGGCTGTGAACCCTAGCGCGAACGGCGCATGTCCGGCTACGAGTTTTCCGACGCTCATAACTTCTCCGTCCCTGATCCATCTCCAACGCTCTTGGGCTCGTTAGAACGAGCGTCCCGAGCTCTTTCTAATGCGACTTCAACCAACTGGATCTACCGTGTATCCCGATTGTTATGAAGGTTTTCCCTTTCCGCGCTAGCGGCGCTTCGCCGAAGGCGCACTCATGGTCGGACGCCTTTAGAGGTCCGGGCCCTTCTCCTGACGTCTTTAGCAAAACTTCCTCCTGAGGTGTCTGCGTCGGAAGCGTAGCTTCCTTATACGCTGGAGGCGCGTGAGTAGAGACACCTCAGAAAAGGAGCTTTTGCCGAAGGCGCCGAAGACATTGGCGTTGGTACATCCGACTACGTGATTCTTTGTGTCCTCGTGACGATCTCATCAATCCACTCTATTTAACGTACCCTTTTCTAACTACAAACACTGCTTCGGTACTAGTTTTCTAAAATTGTTTAAATTCTGCAAAAAAAACAAAAAGTGTGTTACCACATTAATCATGGAGATATTTGAACAAGAGAATATCAAGTATTGTACAAGTTTTTACTCTTACAAATGACAGCATTAGTTGGAACTCTACTAATTTAAAATGCATCTCTTTGTCATCCATGAAAGCTAAATATGTTGCACCAGTAGAGGCATCAAAGAAAACAATTTGGTTAAACAAGCTTATCACTTAGATGAGATTGTTGCGGGAGGACTTCAATCTTCATTGTGATAGTCAGAATGCGCTTCACCTTGCTAAAAATTATGTGATGGTTATTATGATGAAGCACATTGACATCAAGTACTATTTTATCAAGCAAGTTGTGTCTGAAAACTCTTAAGCTACTCAAGATTGATGGAGAGCTTAACCAGGCCGATGGTTTTATCAAAATGATTCCTTTTGATAAGTTCTCAAGACACCCTGCAACTTTGCAAATTTTGCATTGGTGAGTTAGATTACATGATAGTTTGTATGTATGTAGTTTTTCTCCGAGATGTCAGTTACAGTTTAATTCCAGTTAACCCTCATTCATATGAAGAAAACCATGATTTAGTTTTAACTTTTAGAATTTCTCGCTGAAACTATATGGATAGTAGAAACTGCCTTCCCCAAGACTTGGATTAAGAGGTAATTTGTGAGGTTAAAAGTGTGTTGTTGACCGTAGTTAGTCTAACCAAAGATAAGTTTGACCTCTAGTTAGTGTTTGAGTTTGTTCGAGCTAATTAGGGTTAGTTTGTTCAATTTAGGGTTCACTTTGAGCTCGTGATTCAAATACGTAGCTCTAGGATGACTACATTTTAGTTCAGTCTCATATGTACATGTGAGACTGATGACTGAGAGAGATGATAGAGAACTTGGCTATGAATGACTGATGTAATATTTTTGCTTTAATGAAGTTTTTATCTACCGTAAGCTCATGTGGAGGTGTAACCACGGTCATTGATGTGTGATTCTCCTTGCATCGGATCTACATTATGATAGAGAAGATACATGTATTGTGGAACATCTAGATTTTATACTAGAAATACTGGAATAATAACTCCAATAACTATTAGAAAGATATATATAATGTGTACAAATAAATCGTATGCAATACTTTCTAAATATTTGTAATATAATTTAAATACTTAAAGATGTCAATAATAAAAAAATTTAAATTTCAGAAATTTTCTATATAATTCATTTATCACAATATTGTTGAATTTAAATTCATTTTGAACTTAATCTCAGAAAGCAGTATTCCGACACAACAGTATTCTAAATCAAAATAATGGCAAAAGTAAACAGCAACCTTCGCTTTGGTGTTGTCATCGTTCAACTAACCAAGGCGTCATTCAGATTCTGCTACCAGAAGATAGCTGGGCGTTGTCTGAGTATGTGTGATTTGAGTACAATGGATGGTTACATGCTTCGTCTGCATCGGGTAATAGTTAGAGGCAGCCTGAGCAAGTCTGTGTGGGAGTGGCTGGAGCCGACGCTAAGACATAATCACAAACACAAAGAGGTTCCCTTTGTTCAAGAAGCCACCTCCTGGTCCTCAGGCGGTAGCCATTGAACAAAAGTACTCCTCTAAGAAGCTCATAAAGTCTCTCTTGACAGTTGGTGGTTAACCGGGCGTATTCGGAGCCCAAATATTATCTGCCTACTCTCCACCTGTGGATATGGAGGTCCGAGTACTCCTTCCTCCTCTTCTCGCTATATGTTCAAGGAGATTAATGTTTCAGTTCTCCCTTGCAGGTATCTTTCAAGCATAATTGTATTTGCATGGCTTGTAGGCCCTTTTCCCATATCAAGAAATTTGCTGCGCCTCCAGCATGTTTTAAATTCAAATGCTCGAGCAGCTACGAAGAATCAAATATCAGCTTACGTTGTGAGTGATGATTATCATTCACAGATTATCAGATATATTTTACTCATCCAAGAGCCTTCCCGGATGACGTCGCTCTCAGATACCAGTGCACGTTCTTTATTGGGCCTCACTTGGACTTTGGATTCATACCTTCCCTTCAGTAGTCTTCAATAAATTGGTCTAGCACGCCACAATGGTGATAGCTCGAAAACGTATGCAACCATTGTTAGGAGAGCGTGGATTGGGGTGGCTCCATCACTATAGACATAGTAGAGCAGGAGGCATGAAAGTTGATCGTATAATGGGGCGTGCATGCACACGTTGATGACGTCTACAAACAGCTGATGTCTGAGAGCATCAACGCTGTGATTGTGAGATGACTATGCATCCTGTCTTTATGCGTTTTCGACTGCAAGTCTTTGTTTAAGTTGAAAAATGATTTTCCTGCCAGGGATTTTAAGGTCGCCATGCACTTCTTCTATAATTAAGAATAATACAGATTTCCAAAGAAAAGATTCACATTAATCGCAACTCTTTCTCCAATTTCTGTATTACGATTGAGCTTTCTGAAATCAACTCAGCTATCAATAGAGACGACGTTTGCTCTTTCCCAGCCTCATGCTTCTCGCAACGACCGATAATAAGTTACAACCGCGATGCCCTACTAGGGATTCGAGTTATGCTTAAAAGTGGTTGTACTAATCTATACCAACTTAAAATCTCATCAGTACTATGCAAGCGTAGAAGCAATTACAATGCCCTGTATTCAGAAACACGATCCTTACTGCACTCTCTGTCATCCTCACGGCAGGGAGAAATGGAGTGCCCTCCTATGAAATTCTCATCCCTGCCCACTGATGTACATGTGATGAATGTACCGAGATTACAGTACTATATGTCTACCACTTCAGCAAAGATGAAACTCGGAGTCGCTCGACGGCCGCAGCTATTCGTAGAGGAAGTCTAGTAAGGAAGCTGACCGACAACGTTTCCCGGGGGGTCGTAGCTGCAAACGACGAACAAGGCACCAGAGGGACAAGTGGCCGACCCGCATCCCAGCGCCGCTGTGTCCCTCCACACGACCTGTTGCAAAGAGTGCGACTCGTGTCAAAACCCGCGAGGCTCATCACATCGACTGCACGCCCGACCGTGGAAAAAACAGCGACACACAAATTGACTTCCAGTTTCTCGTCCCATTCATGAGTTTCCCCAGAGTATGCGTGAAGCGCCGCATCGTTTTTACATCTGTGGGAACAGCTCTATCCTGATACAGGTCCTGGGCTCGTGGTTAGTTCTCAAGATCTAGAAATCTCTGAAAATCAAACTACGGCGGAAGGCCATAAAAACACAACTTCGAGCACACCAGGCAAGAAAAGCACGAGAAGAATTTGCATGGGACCTGCGTGTAATGACCGCATGACTCGCCCTCTGGGGCCGAGCACGAATTTGTTGCGTAGTCGTAATATGCCTCCTCGCTGACCCAGGCCTGCACTGCATCCGCTGGGATACTCGGTCCACTGGACCAGTAGATGTTCTCCCCGTAAGGTCCTCCAGAGTGTATGAGAGCGCAGTCGTCACCAGCAGATGCTCTGGTGGCGGCCCAGTCAGTAGCATACGATTCCAGCGTGGTGTCCCAGGTCAGGCTCGGTATGCCTTGATTCAGCCCAGCTCGGGCATCATTGTGCGGAGTGAGGTACTCGTCTGCTGTGGATTGACCCTGGGCGACATTGATGATGCTAGACGCTGTAAGAGAGATGACAAGAATATGAATCAGAAATCGTGGCCTCAAGCCGAAACCCATCGTAAAACTGAGGATCCAGAAAGGTGGAGAGAGATATTTTTTTTGTAGAGGAGAAATCCAGAGCAGAGTCCACTAGGTCTGATATCTAAAGTGTTATTTAGGCTTCTAGATAGTCCTGCTATAAGGATGGAGATCCGAGGTAGGAGGAAGTGATTTTCAACCTCAATCCCAGCGATGAGATCGCAGATATGCCTTGAGCGATCACTCCTGATCCTTTTATACCACAGCAAGTTCTGAACTTGCGTGAGAGATCAGTGTAAACTATTGAAATTGGTATATGTAAAAGGTAGGATCGGGACCCACATGAGCATTTCTCGAAGCCTTTTTAATGAAAGAAATCATTGGCGAGCATTCTTAATTCATACCGGAATCCTCTCTACAACTGCTATTAGGCTTGTCATCTGGGCTCCACTATACATCTCACTCACAAACAAATGCAGTCTGGACACCGCTCATCGGACGACCCTTGAGTAACTTGATAGTCTGTGATCTGGAAGACCCTGGGAGTATCCCTGTCAAAAGTCAAGTCCAGTATCCGGCACATGAATAAACAACATCGAGATATCCTCCAGTGGGCTAATGTTAAGATATTGGAGGAATAGAATATGTCCATTCCCAATCTCTTGGTCAATCCAGAGTATCTTATATGCAGCTGCAGGAGAGTTCGCCAAACACATGGGACGTGCGTGTCCGCCATCGTGAAATGATCGCTTGAGTTCTGCTGGATCTCTGAGGATATCTCACCAGAAACGGTGTTTATCAAATTGCCAAATCTTCCATATTCTTCTGCATACGATTCGAATGCAACGGGTTATAGCACAGATTCGAATAATTAAGCTAACATTATTCACCGATCTTGCTATGCCGTTGCCCAACAGATCTGTCGTGACATTCTTAAGTACGGGATCGAAATATTTACTCTAGACAGCAGCCATGACATGCTTCTGCTTGGTCACAAACTCCCAGATCGAGCTTCCGGGGACTTGATTGCAACAACGACAGGTTGCATCTTAATGAAATTCCTTCTGAACAGATGATCCTTCCAAATCTGATGTTCTATTTTTCTTTCTGTCGCTATGACTCGAATGGTCTCCTTTGCAAACGCACACACAGACCTGTCAATGCACATCATAACATCTGAAAATTTCTATTGGATTTGAAACTCGTGACCATGGCATTGGAGCTTAGAACCTCCTGAAACTCCGTGCATCAGCTTTTTCAATGGCACTGTAATAACCCACTAAAGGCTAAAACTGCAATATAGTGGTAGAAAGGTCGAACCCACAGGGAAAGAGGAACACACAGGGTACAAAGTGTCACGTTTAACAGACTATTGAGGAGTTTGAATTCTCAGGCGACTATCACTCCCAGAAATACTGCAAGTGTCCACTCGGAGCGCACTCGGAGGTCGCACAGTGCAGCGTAACACACACATACACACACACACCTGAAACTACAGAAACACAACCCAGAGATCCGTTAGGACCTCTACTTCAAGATTTCAGGGGGAAGATCCCTCAAGAGTACACTCAGCGAAGCTGCGGGTAGTGACTCCCAACTCCGGCTTTTACAACACTTCCACTAGCTTGCTGCTAGCGTAGGAAACCCGGTTTGGACTGCCTACTTCGGATCGAAGTCACTCATACGCGGTGAACAACACTCCCAACTCACAAAACACGCAGAGAACACAGGTCCGCACTGAAGGACTCACTAAGAAACATTCCAGTAACACAATAACAGTCTATTGAAGAGTTTGAATTCTTAGGCACTTGTCATTTCCAGAAATACTACAGGGGTTACCCTGAAGGCACCTGCTGCAGCGTAACCTGAATTTACAACCAAGGCTTACACGAAGTAGCAAAACTTCACTTTGGCATTCAGGGGAAAAATCCCGAAGGAGTACAATCAGAAACAAACACTCGAAGGTGTAAGGGCGAAACTATTCAAGTATCTAACCAGTCACTGGCTCTGAGCATCGGCAGTCACCCGCAGGTGCAGATCCGAACTACTCAAGTCTCTAACTAATGTACTAGCTCTGAACATTCGGCCGAAGGCCTTCAGCTACAAAATGCGGAACGCCAAGTTGTAGCTCCTCGTGCGTGGTGACAGAACTAAGGGCACGAACACGCAGAGAAAATGAGTTCCTGATTTGTACTTCTGAAATTGGGAAAGAACCCAAGGCAAAACGCCTTGAACTATTTTATACCTTCTAAGTCCTAGCTAGCACTACACTGCACAACGCTACACGCCAGCACGGAACCACGCTACACTACACTCCGCGGACCCAGTGCTACGTCTCCTGCGTGACGGACTGCCGCGCACTAACTCCCTACCCTGCCAGTCTTCCGCTCGACTGCGCAGTCCCAACCGCTGCAACGCCGCGGACACCTCCACCTCGAGGGTGGACATGGTATCCCGCGCCTTCGACAGAAAAGCGTCGAGCTTCTTCGCTACCTTCCGCCGACTCCTGCTGTCGCCTGCCAACAACCCTGCTGCGCGAAGTTCAAACTCACGCAGTGTGAGTTTCTCCTGCGCCGCCACTTCCCAGTGGGCGTAGCCCTTGAGACAGTGGGCGACACGCCTTGCCGTCTCCTCCTTCGTGCGATCTGCCTCTCGCCTGCGATCCTTTTCAATTACCACTAACTGCGATTCGGCCTCCGCACGCTGCGCTCTCAATTCGCCACACTCTGACTGTAGCCTGCGGATTAAATCCTCATCCGCCTGCCGTGCGAGCTGACACTCCGCCAACAAACGCGTCTTTCGCACGAGCTCTTCTGACAGAATCTGATTCTGAGTTTTCTCAGACATCAAATCCTGCGTGGTCTGCACCACATCCCTGGTGAGCTCTTCCACTCTATCCTTCCGCATCCTGTCGAGGGCGTGCGATTTCCTCTCAAGGTTGTACTGCCCCCATAAACAGGCATGCCTCTCCTTCAATTCCTTCAACTCCTGATCCACCCTAGCTAGTAGCTTGCTAGTGTGGACTTTAGTGCGAGTCCGCCTGCGCACTAATTCGATGTAAGATCCCGGCTGAAGTGGATCGGCGTATTTATCGAATTTGCGATCCAAGTACTTCAGCAACGGAATCACCTGCTCAGTGAGCGCCGCCGCCGGCGCTCCAACAATTTCCTCCTCCTCCTCCTCGGTATCCGCTGCTCCCAACACTACTTCGGTAGAGCCTCCGTCGTCATCATCCGAGTTGAGGATTTCAGTCGCCATTGATTGCGTTGGCGACTGTCCCGAGTGGAGCTGCACGTCGTCGACGTGTGCTGCCTGCGAAGGCACCGATGCAGCCTCGCTGCTCTTCGCCAAAATGTCTAAGGCGGTAGGCGAATGTGGCCGTGCTACATCCCCGTCGCCCGCTTGTTGGTCTTCAATCGTATCCTCTTTGCCGCCGACGTCCGCCGCCGAAGGCGATCGAGCGGCGGGTGTATGCGCGGGGTTTGATTGCGCATCGCGCACCGAAATTTCGTCCCGCGGACAGTCAATCCGCTCCTCCGTCAGGTGCTGCCCCCTCGATCGGTCTTGCGCGGGGGCTGTGCCTGGCCTGTGCGCAGGCGCAAATGCCGGCGCCTTGTCCGCCGCAGGCGCAGCGCCGAAGGCGTCTATCGCCAAAGGCGATATAGCCGGGGGCCGCTCGCCCGATGTCCCTTGGCCCGTAGGCCCTTCCGCCGAAGGCGCATCTACCGGCGGACTACCCGCCGATGGTGCAGCCTCCGCACGCTGCCTGCTCGCATCTCCTCGGCCCGAAGGCCCTGGCGCCGAAGGCGCAAATCGCGGCGCGTTGTGCGCCGGAGGGTCTGGCCCCGAAGGCCTGTGTCCCGTAGGCGGATCTTCCGCCGGCTCCTTCACCTTCCTACGTTGGAACGGGGGTGATTCCTGCCTGTGCACAGGCGGCATGTGTGGAGGCGGCCTGTGCACAGGCGGACTGCTTCTTCCCACGCGTAGGCGTAGGTCCACGTCCGCTTGTGGTCGTCTGTCCGTCGAGGCTCGCCCGTCCGTCGAGGCTCGCCTGTGCGCAGGCGGAACACCTGTCCGCAACGCACGTGGTAACTCCGGAGGCCCTTGGCCCGTAGGCGGCCTCTCGTCCGTCGAGGCTGCGGCGTGGTCCGTTGCTCCTGCGGACGTCCGCGCTCCCTCGTTCTTCTCTGGCGACGCACTTCCTTTCTCCGTCGCAATCGTCGCCGTGTCCGCGCTGCTGGCTTGTAACACAAGCCTGTGCGCCTTCTGCTTCGGCCGGGTGTACGATTCGTACAACGGCCGCGTGTAATAACCCACCAAAGGCTAAAACTGCAGTATGGTGGTAAAAAGATCGAACCCACAGGGACAGAGGCAACACACAGAGTAAAAGTGTCACGTTTAACAGACTTTTGTAGAGTTTGAATTCTAGGCGACTGTCACTCCCAGAAATACTGCAGTGCTCGACTCGGAGGCTCGACTCGGAGGAGGAACTCAACTCGGAGGATGTTCGGAGGATGCACGGTACAGCTTGGTCACTCAACACACACACACACACACACACACACACCTGAAACTGGCAAAAAGCACAACTCGGAGGTCGGTCAGGACCTCCGCTTCGGATTTCAGTAGGAAAGTGTCTCACAAGTTCACTCAGAGGTTCTGCAGGTAGTGCCTCCCACTCCGGCTTTTACTGCCCTTCCGCCAGGAACTAGCGGGGGTACCCGGACTGGACTTCCCACTTCGGAACGAAGCCTCTACATACGCCGTGGACGTCACCCTCGACTATCACACCAAACGCAGGGAGTGCAGACCCGATTGAGAACTTACTGAAAACACGATCCAGTAACACACACACAACCTGAATTACAAACCAAGGTTTACACGAAGTAATGAAACTTCACATTGGCATTCAGGGGAAACTTCCCGTAGGAGTACAATCAGGATATGTCACTCGAAGGAGTAAGGGGGAACTGTTCAAGTATCTAACTCGCAGCCGGCTCTGAGCATCAGAAATCACCCGCAGGTGCAGATCCGCACTACTCAAGTCTCTAACCGGGTGCTAGCTCTTAACATTCAGCCGAAGGCCTTCAACTACAACATACGGTAACTTCGCTATGCTGCAGCTTCTCTACGTGGTGCCAGGACCAAAATGCACAAACACGCCAAG